AAAGCATGAGTAAACAGAGGCTTAGAGAGCTAAGAGAATTGTTAAGGCCCACTGCTATTAAGTGTAGAGTCAGGACTAGAATTCTGATGCTGGTCCCTTTGTGCATTGCTGTTTCCAGTATTGTGCCCTGTTAGAGTTTTCATACATCCCTTAATTACAGTGCCATATGCCATGTCCATTTAGCTGTAATTTGACCACAAGCTGCAATACACTGCTAAGAGTGCAGGGTGGACCAATCTGACTAAACACATTGAGTGGGATCTTGCCAGAGGTGGAGAATGGTGAGATAACCTGAGTTTTGAGTTTCCCCTTTTTCTCTTGAATGTATCCACCACATACTCAAGTCCACCTGCATAAAAATGATGACTATCAAAACAATCTTGAAAAAGAACAAGTTGGAAGATTCTCACTTCCCAATGTCAAAACTTACTACAAAGCTACAGTAATCAACACAGTGTGGTGCTGGCATGGAGACAGACATATAGACCACAGGAATAGAATGGTGCATCTTGAAATAAATCCTCACATATACAGGCATGCATCATATGATGACGCTTTGGTCAATGATGAACTGCATGTACAACAGTGGTCCTATAAGACAATGGAGCTGGGTCAAGTACAGTGGCTCACACCTATAATCCCAGCACTTTGGGAAGCCGAGGTGGGCAGATCACCTGAGGTCAGGAGTTCAAGACCAGCCTGGCCAACATGGTGAAACCTTGTCTCTACTAAAAATACCAAAAATTAGCCAGGTGTAGTACCAGATGCCTGTAATCCCAGCTACTCAAGAGGCTGAGACAGGAGAATCATTTGAACCCGGGAGGCAGAGGTTGCAGTCAGCCAAGATCGTGCCATTGCACTCCAGCCTGGGCAACAAGAGCAAAACTTCATCTCAATAATAATAATAAAGTAATGGAGCCGAAAAATTCCTATTGCCTAGTCATGTCATAATGTCATGACATTACTCACGTGTTTGTGGTGATGCTAGTATAAATAAACACACCTACAGTGCTGCCAGTCATAAAAGTATAGCACATACGATTACGTACTGTACAAAGTACTTGCCAATAAAAACTATGGAACTGATTTATGTATTTCTTATACTTTTCAATTATTATTTTAGAGTTCACTTCTTCTGCTTATTAAAAAAAACCAAAACTGTAAAACAGCCTTTGACAGGTCCTTCAAAAGGTATTCCAGAAGAAGACATTGTTATCATAGGAGACGACAGCTCCATGTGTGTTGCCCCTGAAGACCTTCTGGCAGGACTGGATGTGAAAGGGAAGACAGTGATGTTGATGATCCTCACCCTATGTAGGCCTAGGCTAATGTGTGTGTGTCTTAGTTTTGTTTTGTTTTGTTTTTTTTAATATTTACAAAGTTCAAAAAATAAAAAAATTAAAAATAGAGAAAAGCTTACAGAATAAGAATATAAAGAAAGCATTTTTGTCTTAGTTTTTTTAAGTGTAAAAAGTTAAAACAAAAATTTAAAAAATAGAAAAAAGCTTACAGAATAGGGATATTAAAAAAACTCTTTGCACAACTATTTTTGAAACTATTTTGTACTATTTTTGAAACTATTTTTGTATAATGTGTTTATTTTTATTTTTTTGAGACAGAGTCTTGCCCTGTTGCAGAGGCTGGATTGCTATGGTGTGATCTTGGCTCACTGTAACCTCTGCCTCCTGGGTTCAAGCGATTCTCCTGCCTCAGCCTCCCAAGTAGCTGGGATTAAAGGTGCCTGTCACCACGCCCAGCTAATTTTTTGTATCTTTAGTAGAGACAGGGGTTTCACCATGTTGGCCAGGCTGGTCTCAAACTCCTGACCTCATGATCCACCCACCTCAGCCTCCCAAAGTGCTGGGATTACAGACATAAGCCACCATGCCAGCAACTGTGTTTGTGTTTTAAGCTAAGTGTTATTACAAAAGTATCAAAACATTTAAAAAATTGAAACAGCTATAAATTAAAAAGTTACAATAAGCTAATATTAATTTGTTGAAGAAAGAAAAATGTGTTTTATAAAAGTGTAGTCTAAGTGTACAGCATTTATAAAATCTGCAGTAGTGTAAAGTAATATCTAGGCCTTCACATTCACTCACCACTCACTCACTGACTCACCTAGAGCAATTTTCAGCCCTGCAAGCTCCATTCATGGTAAGTGGCCTATACAGGTGTACCATTTTTATCTTTTATAGCATATTTTTATTGTACCTTTACCATATTTCCTGTACATATGAGTCTACTTTTATGAGCTACTTAGAAAAGGCAAGTTCAGAGACAGAACCTAGATCAGAGGTTCTCATCTAGATGTGTTTAGATACACAAATGCTTACCTGTGTTACAGTTGCCTACAGTATTCAATAGAGTAACATTTGTGCAGATATGCAACCTAGAAGCAATAGCAATACTGTATAAGCTGGGTGTGTAAGAGGCTATACCGTCCAGATTTGTGTAAGTACACTCTGTGATGTTTCCACAATGATGAAATTGCCTAATAACCAATTCTCAGGACGTATCCCTGTTGTTAAGTAACATAACAGTCAGTTAATTTTTGACAAGAGGGACAAGACCATTCAATGGGGAAAGGATCGCCTAGTCAACAAATGGTGCTGGGAAAAGTGGATAGCCACATGCAGACAATGAAGTTGGACCCTTAATTATACCATTTACAGAAATTAAGTCAAAATGAACCAAAAACCTAAATTTAAGACATAAACTATAAAACTCTTAGAAGAAAATCTAGGGAAAATCTTCATGACCTTGAATTTGACAATGGTTTTCAAGTATGTCAACAAAAGCACAGGCAACAAAAGAAAAAATAGATATGAGACTTCATCAAAATTAAGAACTTTTGTGCATCAAAAGATATCATAAAGAGAATGAAGAAAACCAAATAATGGAAGAAAATATTTACCAATCACATACCTGATCAGGGATTAGTATCCAGAATATATAAGGAACTCCTATAGCTCAACAACAAAAAAACCTCAATTCAAATATAGATAAAGGACTTGAATAGGCATTTCTCCAAAGAAGATAGACAAAAGGCCAATAAACACATGAAAAGATGCTCAACATTAGGGAAATACAGATCAAAACCTAAATGAGAAACACTCACTTGAGTTATTCCCTAATGACTAATGAGCTTCTTTTTAAACTCCTCTTACTATCATTACCAGTTGAATGGGCTATTCTGAAACAAACAAAACAAAACAGAATCAGAAAATAACAAACAGTAATGATGTGGAGAAATTAGAACCCTCACATATTTCTGGTGAAATATGAATGGTGCCTCCCTTGTGGAAAATATTTTGGCAGTTCCTCAAAATATTAAACTTAGTGTTACCATATGACCAGCAATTTCACTCCTAGGTCTGTGTTTAAAAGAATTGAAAACAGGGACTCAAACACATACTTGTACACTAATGTTAGCATTATTCACAATAGCCAAAAGACTGAAACAACCCAAGTACCTATTGACAGATGACTGGTTAAGCAAAATGAGGTCTATCCGTACAGTGGATATTACTCAGCCATAAAAAGGAATGGAATTCTGATACACAGGACAACATAGATGAGCCTTAAAAACATGCTACACGAAAGAACCCAGGCATGAAAGGAATATTTTATGATTTCTATTTGTAAAAAAGCAATTATTTTGGGTACATATGATTCCACTTTTTTTTTTTTTTTTTTTTTTTGAGACGGAGTTTCGCTCTTGTTACCCAGGCTGGAGTGCAATGGTGCGATCTCGGCTCACCACAACCTCCGCCTCCCGGGTTCAGGCAATTCTCCTGCCTCAGCCTCCTGAGTAGCTGGGATTACAGGTACGCGCCACCATGCCCAGCTAATTTTTTGTATTTTTAGTAGAGACGGGGTTTCACCGTGTTGACCAGGATGGTCTCGATCTCTTGACCTCGTGATCCACCTGCCTCGGCCTCCCAAAGTGCTGGGATTACAAGTTTGAGCCACCGCGCCCGGCCGTTTATGAGGCACTTTAGAACAGGCAAGTTCAGAGACAGAACCTAGATTAAAGATTACCAAGGGAATGGGGGAAAGGGAAATGGGCATCGTTTCTTGATAAGTAGAGAGTTTCTGTTCAGGATGATGGAAAAGTTTTGGAAACAGTGGTGACGGCTGCACAATGTTGTGAATTTATTTAATCCCACTGAATTGTACATTTAAAATGGCAAATTGTATGTTATATATATTACATTTTACCACCATAAAAACAGATTTAAACATAATTAAAAAAAATTACAGACTACGTAACTTCACAGAGATAGAGAAGCAGAAATTCACACTATTCAGAAAATAATCATAAAGCTAGCTGGAAAGAAGGGGACAGGTCGTGACTGACTGAATCCAAGAGGACTGAACTGGAGACAGCTTCAAGGAAAACTCTGTGGAGTAAGAAGGGAAAGAGCAAAAGTGTTAATCATCATTTAGCAGACTCCATGGAGAACGTTTTTATGTACTTTTCATTCCATCCTCATGGCAATTTTGTGTGGTATGTCCTGTTAGTACCCTATTTCATATGAGGGAACAGAAGCTTAAGTAAGTCACTTCCTTAAGGACTCACCCAGTGAGTGCCCGGAGCCAGAAATCAAAACCCAGTCTGTCACTTCCAGAACCCACATTCTAATTTTGTTCATCTCAACTTTTTTGGTTAAGAATTGGAACAGGGCCAGGTGCAGTGGCTCACGCCTGTAATCCCACCACTTTGGGAGGCTGAGGCAGGTGGATCTTCTGAGGTCACGAGTTTAAGACCAGCCTGGTGAATATGGTGAAACCCCGTCTCTACTAAAAATACAAAATTAGTTGGGCATGGTGGCATGCGCCTATAATCCCAGCTACATGGGAGGCTGAGGTAGGAGAATCGCTTGAACCTGGGAGACGGAGGTTGCAGTGAGCTGAGATCATGCCATTGCACTCCATCCTGGGGCAAAAAGAGCAAAACCCTATCTCCAAAAAAAAAAAAAAAAAAAAAGCCTGTTATGGCTTCCAGCGGGGTCCCAGTGAGCGCTGCCAGCTCTACTAATGAAACTCCCCGAAATACCGAACAACGTGGGAGATTGGCTTCGGGGCGTCTACCGCTTTGCCAGTGATAGGAATGACTTCCGCAGGAACTTGATCCTCAATTTGGGACTCTTTGCTGCGGGAGTTTGGTTGGCCAGGAGCTTGAGTGACATTGACCACATGGCACCTCAGCCAGGGGTGTAGCCAAGTAGACAAATGGAATCCTGTGCTGAACCTGAACCTTCCAAAAAACAGCCTACAATTTGTGACCATCATAAGATGTGCCCTGATGGCAGCTAAAGTTTGATTCAGATGGGCACCTTCCTTTTCCTTATCCCTGCCTAGTTTCCTTTTGTTCCTTGAGTCTACGCAGGATTCCATTCTCTGGTCAGCAGACAGGTTTAAGCTGAAGTATTGCCTCTGTTCTGTAAAGTTCTGTACAAAGTTCCTAAGCTTCTCCAGGGGGTGATCCTTGTTCTTGTCCTGAGAAATAACAATGCTGTTTTAACGAACATTTGAAATAAAAAGCGCGAGCGCGCGTGCGCGCGCGCGCGCGCGCACACACACACACACACACACACACACACACACACACTTAAAAGAACTGGAACAATATCCACCTCACAGAATTGTTGTGAGCATTAAATTAGAAATAATTTTTAAACTGGGAAGTTCTGAATATAACAGGATTTTTGCATTATTTTCTTGACTACTTTATCCTCTATGCCCCCATAGGAGGCTGAGACCTTTTTTTTATAGCCCTCTGTACCATAGTAGATTGTTCAACAATCTGTGTGTTTCACAACAGCAAAAACTCTATTTTATTCATTGTTAAAAAGGTGTTTCTTTTCCCTCTTTTTTTTTTTTTTTTTGTGATGGGAGTTTTGCTTTTGTTGCCCAGGCTGGAGTGCAGTGGCACAATCTCGACTCACTGCAACCTCCGCCTCCCGGGTTCAAGTGATTCTCTTGCCTCAGTCTCCCAAGTAGCTGGGATTACAGACATGCACCACCATGCCTGGCTAATTTTGTATTTTTTGTAGCGATGGGATTTCACTGTCTTGGACACGCTGGTCTTGAACTCTTGACCCCAAGTGATTCGCCCACCTTGGCTTCCCAAAGTGCTGGGATTATAGGCGTGAGCAACCGCACCTGGCCCTAAATGTTTTTTGAGTGAAGGTGATGTGTGAGTAGAATTTGGAGATGAAAAACATGGCAGAAAGGATGGGCAAGTATCCCTATAACAACTGCATTTGAAGGACAAGACAGGCTGCTCATTGGAGTGAGGGCCAGGGCTGGCCTATCATGTAATGGGGAAGAAGAGAGTTGAGGTATGGAAACAGTGAGAAATTTGAATCTGAACAGCCTTTGGGACTCAATATAGAATTCTGGGAAGGAGGCAGATCTCTGGAGAACATAGGTGACCTCACCATGTAAAGGAACTTTTGGATGGGAAAGAAATGAAAATCAGCAACAAGATCAGCAATCTGAACTAGAACAGTGGTTGCCAGGAGGGAAGACGGCATTTTGAGGAGCTGGCATCAAACATTGTCTCCGTGTGTATTATTCCAAAAGCTTCCTGAATCCCTACTGTACCAAATGGTATCACTGCACCCTCATGGTCCTCACCATCATCAATGCCATTATCATCAGTCACAGCAATAATAATCACACTAGCAGTGAATATGCTATGAGAGCCTACTGGGTGGAAACCACTAACAAGAGCTAAAAACAAAAGTTTAAGCATTTTCTTTCTCTCTTTCTTTCTTTCTTTCTTTCTTTCTTTCTTTCTTTTCTTTCTTTTCCTCCTTCCTTCCTTCTTTCTTTCCTTTCCTTTCCTTTTCTTTCTTTCTTTCTTTCTTTCTTTCTTTCTTTCTTTCTTTCTTTCTTTCTTTCTTTCTTCTTTCTTTCTTCTTTCTTT